GGCCAGCAGCTCCACGCGGTTGACTGCAGGAGGGGGCGGGGGGCGGGGTGAGCAGGGCGAGAGGGGCCGGCAGGGCGGCGGGCAGCCACGGCAACAACTCTACAAGAGTGGGGAATTGCACAGCTGGCGAGCGCGCATCTCTGCCCTGCCCGCACATCCACAACCTGGACAGGCTCACCCCTGCACACCCCCCCACACCCACCCGAGTTGCAGAAGATGATGGACTGGTTGATGGAGAGCTTGGCAAACAGCGTGTTGAGGCAGTGCACCTTCTGGCGCTCCTCCACAAAGGCATAGTACTGCGGGGCGGGGAGGAGCGGCCAGCAGGGGTGCGGTGGGGCACGTGGCGGGCGACGAGGCGTGCAGGGGAGGGCTGTCGCGCCATGCTTGCGGCCGGGAGGGCGGGCCGCCAGGCCGGCTGGCCCGGGCGCGCCGCCGCCTCGCCCCTGCCCACCCACCTGGCTGACACCCTTGAGCGTGAGCTCCTCCATGAGGTTGATGATGTAGGGCTTGCGCAGGAACTTGTCCTTGAACTGCTTCACAGTGACGGGGAAGGTGGCGCTGCAGGGGAGGGGCGGGGGGCGGGGAGAGCAGGAGGGGACCCAACCCGGAGGCAGTGCGTTAGGACGAGAGGGAGGGAGGGAGGAGGGCATGGGCAAGGCCTGGCTTGTACGCTGCGAGCTCAAGGAAAGGACCCGACATGAAGGCCTGAAGCGCCGTCGCGGGGCATGTGCGGCCAGCCCAGCGGGCAGGCAGGCAGGCAGGCGGGCGGGCGGCGGCGGTGCACCTGTAGAGGCAGATCTGGCGGTTCTGCGACAGGAAGCCAATCAGCTGCTCCACCACAGGCTGGAACTCGGGCGACAGCAGCTTGTCCGCCTGCAGGCAGGGGCCGCGCAGCTGGGACGGTGAGCGTAAGACCGACCTGGTGCGGCGGGCCGCCCACACCGCGCATCCGCCACTGGCGGTGCCACGCATCCCCACGCTTCCCACTCCTCCCACCGACACCAGCACCAGCGCGGGGGCGGGCGCGGGTGTGCCAGCGCACCTCGTCCATGACGCACACTGCGCACTTGTCCAGCTTGGCCACCCCCTTCTGCGCCAGGTCCAGGATGCGGCCGGGCGTAGCCACGATGACGTGCACCGTGGCGCCCAGGCGCACAATGTCGTCGCGCAGGCTGGTGCCGCCGGTGCTGACCATCACCTCCACCGCCATGTGCTTGCCCAGCTCCTTGGCAACCTGGCTCGTCTGCAGCGCCAGCTCGCGCGTGGGGACCAGCAGGAGCGCTGCACAAGGGGAGGGGGCGGGAGGGCGAGTCCGTGAGGAGACGAGCGCCACGTAGTGGTGCCACTATGGACACAGTGGCCCCCCACTCCCCACCAGCCTGGTCCCCGCAACTCCCAAAGCCTTGGGATCAAAGCTCTTAAAGCCTGCTCCAGCAGCCCAGCAGCTTCCGCCTCCGACCCACCCTGGACCTCGTTCTTGCTGGTGTCCACCTTCTCCAGCACCGGGATGCAGAAGGCGGCGGTCTTACCGGTGCCGTTTTTGGCGCGGGCCAGGATGTCGCGGCCGGTGAGGGCAATGGGGATGCTCTCCTCCTGGATGGGGCTCGGGTTCTCAAACCCCTTCTCATAGATGCCCATCAGCAGCTCCCTGCACGCGTGGGGCGCATGAGGGAGGCGCAGAGTGAGGGGCCAGGCGGGTGGGCGCGCAAGGCGGCGCGCGGGCGTGGTTGGACCCGCACCTCTTGAGGAAATAGTCCTCAAAGCTGTTGCCCTTGGTGGCGGTGACATCCTGCAGGGTGTTTGGCCAGCAGCGAGTTGGATTTGCAGCGAGGGAGGGCGGAGGCGGCCGGCAGGGAGGCCCAGACTCGGCGGGCGGGTTGCCGCCGGCAAATGTGGGCGGTCACCCGCCGCCCATGGGCTCCAGGCCACCAACCCGGCGGCAGGTGCGCGTCAAAAGGCATCTCAACTGGCGCCCTGGCATCCCAGCCGGTGCGCTGAAGGCCCCGGAGCCCAGACATGCACCGCATCCAGCCCACGCACCTCGGTCTTGTAGCGGGCGTCCTTGGGCGGGAGTGCCAACGACTTTTTCCAGTCGGAGTCTGCAGGGGGCGCTGCTGCAGCGGTTGCGGCGGCCATTGGCGTCGAGACGGCCGCGTGGCTAGCGGGCTAGGCTGTGAGGCTGGCTGGAGTCGCAGCAGGGGGCGGGGCGGCTGGGGGCTGCCGTGGAGGGGCTGGGGTGCGCAGGCTAGTCGCTGGAGCGGGCTGGGCGTGGGGTCTGGGGTTGACAGGGGGCTGATCGCGGCGCTTTGGACAGGACAGGCTGTGCAGGAATGTCTGTGGTGTTCAGATGTGTGTGTTTTTGCACAGGAGGCGCGTCGGGGTGGCTAGAAGGGCCTCGGGGTTGGCCACGGGGGCACAGCAGGGCCCTGCAGGGATGGGCAACCTCATCCAGCACCGCGGCATTGCTTAATTCTTCCGGCTGAACCTGCCCAGCCTGAGCTCACAGCCACCAAGGCTGCCTGCACCGGGCCACCCCTCTCGGACCTGCGTTTGCACCAGTCGGGGAGAGGATGCCGTCCACCCTGCTGCAGCAACGGTTGGCATCACAAGCTGGGGCTTCATGCTCTGGACGGGGCCATAGCCTGCAGGCAGCCCGGCCTGTGGCTCGCCTGGCGGGGCTGCGCTGGGGAAGCGTTCTGGCGGCAGGGCGCAGGCTCACGGCCCTGCAGGCATCAGAGGATGACCGCGGCGGGCCGCTGGTGCCACTAGGTGCGGAATTTCTCCCTGGCGGCGCGGCCGGGCGGCGGTGGCACTGCTTTTGTGTCGTGCCAGCACTGCCCTGCTGTGCCTGCTTGCCTGCACCCCATCTCGGCATGCCGCAGCACCGTGGCGGCCCGCCACAACCCACCCTGCCTGCCTGGCCCCTGTGCCCGCAGGGGACGGCGAGGCGCGGTCGTCGGTGGATGCGTGGCTCAACCCGCCGCGCGAGGAGCTGCCCGACGACTTTGAGATGCCCATCTGGGACCACCTGGACGAGCTGCGGGAGCGGGTGCTGGTGGGGGCGCTGGCCGCCGCCGCCGCCGTCCTCACCTGCTTCATCTTCTCCAAAGACCTGGTCGTGTTTCTGGAGGCGCCCGTAGCGGAGCAGGGCGTGCGCTTCCTGCAGCTCTCCCCCGGCGAGTTCTTCTTCACCACGCTCAAGGTGGGCGGCTACGCCGGCATCCTCATCTCCGTGCCCACCATCCTGTACGAAATCGCCGCCTACGTGGTGCCCGGCCTGACCAAGAGCGAGCGCCAGTTCCTGGCCCCCGTCATCCTGGGATCCTCCGTGCTCTTCTACCTGGGGTGAGGCGCAGCGGGGCGGGGAGCCCAGCGCCAGCGCATGTGCAGGGCAGGCACCCCTCCATGCGATGTCTCTGGCACCCACCCCCCAACACGAAACACACATGCTCACCTCGGTACACCCTCCTCCCTGCCCACCCCTGCAGCCTGCTCTTCTCCTACGAGGTCCTCACCCCCGCCGCCCTCAACTTCTTCGTCTCCTACGCCGACGGAGCCGTGGAGTCGCTCTGGTCCATCGACCAATACTTTGAGTTTGTGCTGGTGCTCATGCTGTCCACCGGCCTCTCATTCCAGGTGGGCGTGCCGTGGGGAGCAGCGGGGAGGGCAGAGTGGCGGGGATACGAGGCGTGCAGCGGGTGGCTGGCTCACTGCCTGCCCCTGCGCCCCCTGCCGCTTGCTGTGTTGGCCCCTCACACCTCTGCCCCGCCCCCACGCGCAGGTGCCTGTGATCCAGGTCATGCTGGGCCAGCTGGGGCTGGTGACGTCGGAGATGATGTTCAGCCAGTGGCGGTATGTGGTGGTGGGCGCCACCGTGGCTGCCGCCGTGCTGACCCCCTCCACAGACCCCTTCACCCAGACGCTGCTGGCGGTGCCGCTGGTGGGCCTCTACATGGGCGGCGCCTCCTGCGTGCGCCTGCTGGAGCAGCGGCGGGAGAACCAGGGGGGCATAGGCGCGTAGGCACCCCCATGACGCAACACTGCATTGACCGTCAGCTGCTCCAGTTGTGTTACATTGACTATGTGAAGCTCGGCTTAGAATGAATGTGCTTGGTGTATTTCGTTCCATCGCTGAAGTCGTTGCAAGCATTCTCATCAACAAACGAGCAAGAAAGGCACATCGCCAGGTTGAGCGTGCTGGCCAGCTTTCACTTCGGAGGGTAGGGACGGGAAGAGAGCAGGTGCCTGCAGCGCTGTGTGATGCTTGTGCAGGGTGCTCTAGGGTAGGGAAGGATAGGGATAGGATGGTACAGGTGATGGGGGCTAACCTGCAGGCAGCAGTGCAGCACAGGCTCCAGACGGGGTCGGCGGCTCCGTGTGCCATTGCTGGCATTTGGGCGGAGGCGCGTCATAAGGCTGGAGCCTGGTGCCTCGCGGCGCAGCTGGGGCTGCGCTGCGGGCGTGCAGGGCGCTGCTGTGAGGCGAGCAAAGGTAGGCCCCTTGGGGGCGTGATCCGGCACTGGGGGAGGGTGGGAGGCAGAGGCGGGGGGCGGAAGGCGGCAGGGTCTGGCTGGCAGTTGTTGTGCTGCCAGGCCCTGAGAGCCTAGACTGCTGCCCTAACGCCTTGCTCTCCAAAATCTCCCAGTGCCTACCGGCCTCAGCCGCCCGCACCGCAGGCTGCCGCTGCAGCAGGGCGGCAACAAGGAAGGGCAGGTGAGGCAATGGTGGCGACGCACACGCTGGCTGGCGTCAGCAGCTTGGCTCGGTGGCACCACCAGCATGGCACGACATGTAGCCTAAAGAGCACCCGCTCACCGCCGCCAGCGTCTCGCAAGTCGCTCAGCCCTGTAATCCTAGGGCCGCGCGGCGGGCGGGGCGGGCCTCCGCCCGGCCCTCCGCCGCCGCCGCCGCCGCGTCTGCTGCGCCCCGAGTACTCCTGTGCCGCTGAAGGGTTGAGGATGGTGCGGAAGAAGTACATGATAAAATTTACGATGCCTGTGACAAACGCCAGCAGGGCGCGCGGAGGCCCATTGCCGGCGGGGCGCCATGCACCACTTGGCCTGCGGTGGGGCGGCGGGCGCAAAGCGTCGGCGGGCGGGAGAGAGCAACGGGGCGCGCCCTGCTGTGCGTCCCAGGTGCACAAGAGCCTGGTTTCTGCCCCTGGCCCGTTTTCATCGCGAGATGCCGGCGTTTGGGGCGCGGGCTCACGAAGCCCTGCCTCACGCACCGCTGCGATCGACGTAAGCCATTGTAGTCGCACTGTCAAACGTCTAAGCGCCCCGCATGGGACGTCTGGCGCCCGGGAGAGGCGTCAAGTGGCGGCTGGGCCCTCCGCTCCCTTGCCGCGTTCAGGCGGGTCCTAAGTGGGCAGTGTGCCAGCCAACAGACAAGACAGGCAAGCCCGCGCGTGAATCTGAGAAGCGGGCACTTGCATGTACTGCGACGGTGGCGCCATCGTACCGCCAGACACTTACTAGGCTGAATGTACAGTGGCACATGCAGGAGTTTCCGTGCCATTTATTTAGATGTACACATGTGCATGGGCAGGCATTGTTGCCAGATGCCCAAAGTTGCTCGCAGGCTGCAGCGCCCGCTCCGTTGTCGACGCTCCCGTGCCGCTCCTCCCTCACACCAGCTTGTGCCCGTCGTCCACGCCCACAATCAGGAAGGAGGCGGCGGTGCGCTGCGTGCTGCTGCGGCCCCGCTGCCGCGCCTTCTGGTCTAGGTCGCCCACCAGGATGAGGCCACGCCCGCCCGGCAGCGGGCCCACACTGTAACCGGCCCCGGCCTCGGTGGCGTCTTGCAAGTATCTAACCTGCGGCAGCGGAGGGGCAGCCCAGAGTTACAGCCCAGACGTTGCTGCACAGGCCCACAAGGCACGTGCAGCGCAGACTCGGCTGAACAGCAGAAGCAGCAGTCATGCAGGTTCATGACGCACTCACAAACTGCAAGCCACAGCGGCAACCATCCGCCTGGTCTCTCCCTGGCCCACCTGCGTGTCGTTGGTGCAGTGCTTGGCCACAGCCTGCGCCACCGCCGCAGGGGATGCCGAGGCCTGGGCCCCAGCGCCGCTGCTGGTGCTGCTGCCACTCCCAGCGCTGGTGCTGGTGGTCTCGCTGGCGGCGGCGCCGCCGCCGGTGAAGAGCAGCTGGAAGCCGTTGTGCTCCAGCAGGGGCAGCCGCTGCGCCAGCATGGCATGCACAGCCTCCTGCATGCTGTCAGGCACGGGGGCCGCCTGCATCGCCGCTGCAGCTGCCGCCGCGAGCTGCACCAGTGGAGGGAGAAGGGAGGAGGGGCTCAGCCGTGCTATCAACCTCTCAAAAAAACATCGGAGGCTCTCCATGGTAGGTAGCTGCCAACCAGGCCAGTGCGCCCAAGCCAACCAGCATCTCACCTGCGCGCTTGCCAGGTGGGGCGCCGCACCGCCCACCAGCGCGGTGGCCAGCCCCTCGTGCAGCGTGCCCAGCAGGCGCGCCGGCGGCACCCCCACCAGCCCGCTGTCCTCTGCCAGGCTCTTGGTGGCCAGCCCCAGCCAGATGGCGGCGGCAGCCAGGGTGCGGCTGTACTGCAGCGCCGCCGCCTCCTCCTGCTCGCGGCTCGCGGGGGCCGATGCAGGGCCGCTGCGTGCGCCGCCAGGAGGGCCGCCTGCACCGCTGCCCGGCTGTGCACCCGCTGGCGTGCCGCTGCCGCCTGAGCTGGAAGTGGTGCCGTCAGCTTGGGAGGCCGCCGCCGTTGCCTGCGCCGCCGCCGTGGCCCCCAGGTGGTGGTGCAGGTCACGCAGCAGGGTCGCCATGCGTGCGCTGGCCACCGCCTGCTCCCTGTTGTACCGCTGCATGCCTCCCAGCAGCTCGGACAGGCGGCACTGGTGGATGGAGGCATCGGGCATGCCCAGCAGGCGGGGGCCCAGCGGCGTGGCCATCATCAGCCAGTCCGCTGCAGGCAGGGGCGGGAGGCACGGGAGGGTGGGCACGGCGGCATGGGCGCACACAAGCCGCCGCCGCCGCGTGCGAGCCCAGCAGGGCCAAGGCAGCGCGCCAGGGAGCCCCGCAGCGCCGGGCATGCACAGCCGCAGCCCGCACCTGTGTTCCCCGCCCAGCTCAGCCCCTGTGCCGCCAGGCTCACAACCCCGCAAGCAAACATGGCAGCCAGGCGCGGCAGGCCGCTGCAGGCAGGCAGGCGGGCGGGCCGGGCGGGCAGGCACACAGTGCAAGGAGAGGGTCAGATGTCCGAGCTGGGGGCGCAGTTGGCAGCAGCAGGCCAGGTAGCAGGTGGCTACAGTGCACCTCGCTTAGCACACGCATCCCGTGCGACGTGCAGCCGGGAGCCTCGCCTCACCCCCCAACACCACCCACCCCGCCTGTCGCACATCCCGCCACCCTGCCGAGCGCGCACCTGGGCGCCTGCATGCCGGTGCCGCCCGCCGAGGCGCCCCCCAGCGGGCTGCCCGCCTCCTGCCCCGACAGCTCCCGGATGAAGTCGCTGACCTCGGGAGGCTCCTCCATGCCGCCGCCCTCATCATCCTCCTGCTGCACCACTCCAACAACCAGGCGCGGCAGGCAGGGGCGGCAGGACGTCGTGGCAGGGTGTGTACTGGGGGCCGTGGCACGAGGGCAGGCGGACCGCGGCTGCAGCAAGCTGCAGGCCCCGACCGCTGCGCGAGGCGCACAACAAGCGGGAGGCTCGAAGCGAGCATGCAGAGTCACCACCACCGCACCTGCGCGCCGCTGCCGGCCTGCGGCCCCCTGGAGGCGCCGCCGCCGCCGCCCGCGATCATGGCGGCGGCGGCCTCCAGGCGGCGGCGCATCAGGGCCCGCTCCAGGCGGCGGTACGCCAGCATGGCGCCGCCGCTGACCTCACGCAGGTCCCGCCACAGCGCCTGCACCTGCAGGCGGGGCGGCAGGGCGGGGCAAGAGAAGCAGGCAGTGTTGGACGGCAGCCGCAGGAGGGAGGCTGGCTGCTCGGGGGCAGGCGGAGCGGGGCGCCAGGCCACGGCGGCACCGCCCACCTGTTCGGCGCACAGAAAGGCGGGGGTGAACTCCACAGAGGAGCCGTCAGGGGTCAACTGCCTCACATGCAGGCCCTGTGCAGCACACAAAGAGCGGCAGAGGCGTGTGCTGCGGCTGGGCGGTGAGGGCACGGTGCGTGCTTGCGCCGGCATGGCAGCGGCATGTGATCAGCAGGTATGCAGCTTGGGAGGAACGGGCGGTAAGGACGGCCTGCTGCAGCTCACAGGGATGATGTGCACTTCCAGGCCGCCGGGGCAGGTGGCGGTGTTGAAGGTGCCGCCCTGCTTGGCCTTGCCGTGCTGCCTGGACTTGGTGCGCCCCTCCCGCCCCGCCTGCGCCGCCTGCCCTGACCCCTGCAGCACCACAAAGTGCTGCGGCAGCGCGCGCAGCAGCTGCAGCGCCACACGCAGAGGCATCCAGGCCAGCTGCGGCGGCGCGCTGGAGGCCAGCAGGCGGCGCGCAGGCAGGTCTTGCAGGCTGTACTGCGGCTGCGACGCCGGGGACGGCTCCCCCGATGCTGGCACTGTCGTGGAGGGCGAGGAGGCAGCTGCTCCTTGGGGGCTGCCCCTCTCCTCCTGCTGCTGCTGTGAAGCAGCCTCCTTCCCGCCGCGCTGGCTGCCTGTGCCGCTCATGGAGGCGGCGCGCTGCTGCACCTGTCTGGACAGCTGCTGCCCCTCCACCAGCTGGCGGGCCAGCCTCTGCAGTGGTGCAAAGGGGTTGAGGTGCCTGCCGCCGCCGCCCTGGCGCGGCCCGCCGCCGCCGCCTTGCACCGGCACCATCTGCAGCGCCTCGCGCGGCCAACGGCACAGCGGCGTCGAATCAGCCCTCGTGGGCAATGCTTGGTGGGGAAAAAGTGGGGATGGCGAGCCAGCCTGTGTCCGCCACCACCGTGCATGCATGCCACACCCACCCACCCACCCACCCGCCCGCCCACCTGGATGGTGCCGCGCGCCAGCTGCTCCGCCACGCCGCGCTCTGTGAGGATGATCTTGCGGCCCCCCACCTGCTGCGCCTGGCAAATGTTGTAGGCGGAGATGGGGTCTGATTGGGGCGGGGAGGGAAGGGGGGGAGGCACGTGCAACTTTGTTTGGTTTGGCACGGCGGGGTAGGTGGCACAGGGACCTTGGAAACCAGATGCATGCACCCATACATGTGTGTGCATCTGTGGGGTGGGTCTGTGGGACAAAAGGTAGATGCGTTGCGGATGCTGGGCATCCACTCGCCGCCCCACCTGTGATGCGCGACGCCGCGCGCCACACCTCCCTGTCCCGCTCCGGCAGGCTGTCTGAGGGCAGCACGCCGTGCTGCAGGCTGGCGAGCAGGCCGTCGGCATTCAAGGTGGGGCGGCCTGCAGCACATACATCAGTGGCACACGATCAGCAGCAGGCAGCTCTCCCCCCCTCAGCCGCCTGCTCGCTTTGCCGGAACAATCGGCGGCAGGCGAGGCGACGGCACCTGCTGGGATGGGCGCGGGCAGCAGGCCGATGTACACTGTGGGCACAGGCACATAGTCAAACGCCGACAGGTCTGGTGCTTGCACGATGGCGCTGCTAGGGCTGCTGCTGGTGGTGGGTGGAGGGCCGACTGCGGCGTTGGGCGGAGAGTGGTCCACCGCTCGCGCCACTCCGCCGCCCCAGGCAAAGGACGTGAGCCAGCCCCTTGGACGCGCCCTGCTCGCACTGGCGGCAATCTCCTGGCGCGCATCCGCGATGTCGTGCAGCAGCAGCCTCCCCTGTGCCTTGTTGTCGAGGAGGCCGAGGAAACTCTCGGCGCAGGACGGCCTGGGGGGGTCCCACAGAGCATCATTGGCCATGGTGTGCCCAAGCCGATCCAACCAGGCGAGTGAGGCGAGTGTGCAGGCACCAAAACCCTGGAGAGTTGTGTACAGGGCACACGGATTGCCCGGCGGCCCGGGCAGTGCCTGGACTCGGATGCTTTAGCAAAGCGAGGACAGGGTGCAGCTGACCGTGGCTTTGCTACATGCGCCTGCCACATCAGACTGGCCCGCAGGCTCTGCATCATCTCGCTCGCTTGTGAGCCTCCCACACTGAACATCGCTCAGTGCTGGGCGCGAACCTTGCCCAGTGGCATCTTTGCATGCGAGAACTGCCTGCGACAGCACCTCGTAAACGCTGAAGAGCGGCAGCCGGGTGTAATCAGGTGATTGGAGAGTTTCGGTTGCCAGCGCCGATGCACCGCCAACGACTCAGCCGCACCGCTGCCGACCCGCGCCACCGACACCCGCCGCTGTCTTGTCTGCAGTGCGCACGGGGCCGCGGCTGGGTCCTTCTGCTTGAATCCGCCTGCCTAGTTGTGACAGCAGTGTCGTGGTGAGGCAGCAGCAGGATGGGCAGGACCTCCAAGGACAAGCGCGACATTTACTACCGAAAGGTGCTCAGCAACCCGGGTGCCCTGCCCTGCCTGCTTGCCACCTCCAGCGGCATGCATGCACATCAGACGCCTGCATGCCTGCTGGGGATGCTGGTGTGCAGGCCAAGGAGGAGGGGTGGCGTGCACGGAGCGCGTTCAAGCTGCTGCAGATTGATGATGCCTTCCACATATTCGCTGGTACGTGCCTGGCCATGCATTGAGAACAAGTGCCGCCGCGATGAGTGGGCTGCCGTGACTCTGTTGGGCTTGGTTGCTGCCGTGCCTCTGACATGGCGCTCCTTTGTTTGCGCCGCCGCCCGCCTGCTGCCACCACCACCCCACATGCAGGCGTGCGCCATGTAGTGGACCTGTGTGCTGCGCCCGGCAGCTGGAGCCAGGTGCTGAGCCGCCGGCTGTACCTGCCCGCGGTGGCGGCAGGGCGCACCGGCGAGCAGCTGCCCAAGATTGTGGCTGTGGACCTGCAGCCCATGGCTCCCATAGAGGGCGTGACGCAGCTGCAGGTGCGGCAGCACGGCTGCTACCCCTAGTCACCGAACACCTTGCGCCACGCTGCATGGCTGGTTCCGGACTGGCATGCCTGCGCTGCCAATCGCCCCGCTGCAGGGCGACATCACTTCTGAGGCCACCGCCCGCCAGGTCATCTCCCACTTCCACGGCCACCACGCAGACCTGGTGGTGTGCGACGGCGCGCCAGACGGTGGGTGGGTGGGCTGGCTGGGCTGCGGCTGGGTTCGCAGGCAGGCCGCGGCGCAGGGCATGCGCGGCACGCAGGAGGTGCCCGCAGCCCTCCTCCTAGGTCTGGCTTGCCTGCCTGGCTGCGCTCCTCATGCCCCTTCCCTGCACCCCCGGCCCCCACAGTCACGGGGCTGCACGACATGGACGAGTTTGTGCAGGGCCAGCTGATCCTGGCAGCCCTGGCCATTGTGGCCCACGTGCTGGTCCCAGGGGGCACCCTTGTGGCCAAGGTCTTCCGCGGACGCGACATCGCCCTGCTCTACTCCCAGCTCAAAATCTTCTTCCCAGATGTCACGGGTGGGGCAGCCTGTGCTGCGACGTGGGCTTGCCATGGCATCTGTGTGCGTCCCCCTCAGCCTGCCTGCTCCTGCCCCCTGCGTTCCTGCCTTTCCTTGCCCCCCAAACCCGGCTTGCCTCGCCTGGCCCCCCCAGTTGCCAAGCCCAAGAGCAGCCGCAACTCGAGTATCGAGGCATTTGTGGTGTGCCGCCGCTACGCGCCGCCGCCTGGGTTCGAGCCTGAGCAGCTGCAGGCGCTGCTGCACAGCGCTTGGCAGGCATATGGGCCAGACACCCAGCACAGGTGTACAGGGACATGGTGCACAGACCCGGCTCAGCTTGCCAGGCGGGTTCGGTGTGTGATCGCAGGCCAGCAAAGAGCTCTCCGGCCGCCTGCACCGGCCCAACTGCCACGCCACCGAGCACTGTCCCTCCCCTGCCGTGCAGTCCGCTGATGCGGCAGCTGGTGCCCTTCCTGGCCTGTGGAGACCTGGATGGGTGGGATGCCGAGGCCTCGTATGATCTGCCCGCTGAAGGCTACGTGAGCCTGCCGCCGGTGCAGCCGCCCACAGCGCCTGCTTACCGGCGAGCTATTGAGAGGATGAAGGGAGCTGCACCTGCCAGGGAAGACAGCGGGGACGGCAGCCATGTGGCAGTGATGGCGACAGCAGCAGGTGCAGCAGCAGCATCAGCAGTCCTGCATGAGTTGCCTTAGGTGTCGCAGGTATCCTCTGTACCACAGTGTCAATCGCGCTCGAACGATGAGGGCAAGCGAGGGGCAGCAACTGATTTGTGTCCTGGCAGCAATGGAGTGCATTTCATATGTGAGCAGGGGGAAGGGGGCAATACAAACAGGACAAGTGCAGGCCAACAAACAGTGTGGGACACCTTTAGGTCAGGTGGGTGCAACGCAGGCAGCTGAACGCATGGGGGATACAGAATGTGAAGCGGCTCGGTGAACATACAGAGCATGGCAAGATGAGAAGAAAGCAAACATACAGCAGCTGGGGAAGCAAAGGCAGGGTGCTGCGGCCATGAACAAGGCGTTTAGGCGAGCTGGGCTGGGAGCGTTGCTGTGCACCTAAACCTATTGGCATGCCAGAGGCCTAATGGCTGGCATGCAGGGAGGCAACCGATGCAAGGAGGGCGACGGCAGCCTGCGTATAGGCATCGCTGGAAGACATTGGCACCTGCTGCCTGCCGCTGTCGGCTGCTGCCTGTTGAGCCGGCGGGCTACCACCTGCCTGCCGCTGCTGCTGCGCCGGCGGCGACTGCTCCTCCTCAGCTGGCGGCGGCGGCCTGAGTTGCAGGTCCTGCGGCGGCGGTGACCGCTGCTGCTGCTGCTGCTGCTGCTGCTGCGGGGACGCGGAGCCTGACGTGGCGCGCTGCACGTCCTGCAGCTGGGTGGCAGCATGCTGCACGACGGCAGCCGTGGCTGCCACAACCGTGGGGGAGTCCTCCTGGGACTGCAGGGGCTGCTGCGGTGGCTGCTGGTTCTGGCTCGGGGTCTGCTGCTGCTGCTGCGCCGTGGGAACATACGCCTGATGCGTGGCCTGTTGGTGTTGCGGCTGCTGAAGGGATGCCGCCCGCTGCTGCAGCTGTGGCGGCGGCAGGATCGGCACGCTGGCCCCTCCAGTTGGCTGTCCCTCCCGCCAAAGCTTCACAGGGCGTGGGTGATCGTTCTTGGCCGCATACAGCCTGCATGCCACGCCAGCGCCCGCGGGCGTGAACAGCCTCACGTGACGCACAAAGCACGGCCCTCCGAACTATACAGTTAGCATACAACACTGTCAGAAAAGTGCAGCGCGCAGACAGGGGTGGCAGCAGACAGCCAGGCCGCTGGGCTGCAGCGCACCCGCAGGCATTGCAGAGGGGCAGCCCCGTGAAGCGGTCCTTGCGCCAGAAGGGCGTGCTTGTTGTGTGGCAGTTGGAGCACACCTGCAAGCGCATCAACAAGAGAGGAGGGTGGCTGCCAAAGCGGTGCCAGCTGCTCCAGCGGTACTGTAGGCTGGTTGCCTGCTGCCCCCCCTGCGGCTGGCAGCCCGCCGCACCTTGCCATTGCCACCGCCGCTGCCCGTGTCATCGCGGCGTGCACGCTTGCGTTGGTGCTCCACGGAGCCGTCCGACAAGGTGCCGGCATCTGCCGGCCCCCAGTCCTGCCCGCCGCCATAGCCTGCCGACGGTGCCGCGGCTGCGGAGGCAGCGGCGCGGTATGGCATGGGGCTGCGGTCTGGCAGCCTGGGGGACTCCGCCCCTGCTGTGGGACCAAAGATTCCAGCGGCGCTGAGCAGCTGCTGCGGAGGCGGTGCAGCCACCAGCTTGACGCCACCGGGCGGTGGGGCGGCGGCAGGGCGGGCAGGAGGTGGCGCGGGGACCGCGGCTGCAGGCCACCCCGCCGCCGCCACGGCTGCCGCTGCCGCGCTGGACACAGCTGCTGTGGCTGCCGGCAGGTCGCTGCCCAGCGGCAACTGCTGCAGGCTGGGCTGCACGTTGTGCGACTGTGCAGCTTGCAGGAGCCGCAGCGCGGCACCCGCCGCCTGGCTGGCGCCCAGGGGTGGCAAGTTGGCTCCAAGGGTGGGGAAGGCGGCCTGTGCCTGGTCCAGCGCATTCTGCAGACCACCCAGCGCTATTTGGTAGAGCTGCAGGCAGGGCGGAGCGCAGAGGGGGATTGACGTGAGTGCCGCTGGTTCCTCGCATCGCGGAAGCTGAGGGGTTAGAGGGTTGGATGGTACGATGGACGTTTCCTGGGTGGGAGGGGATCACCAGAGGCCTGGGGGGCAGTGATTGCAAGGGGCAAGGGGCGCGTTAGGTTGTGGACGTGGGCACACCTGGCTCCAGAAAACGAGGGCTTCCAAGTGCGCAGGCAGCGCTGCGCCGACCTGCTGCTCGGGCTGAGGAGGCTGCTGGAACGGGGCGAAGGCTGAAGGCTGCACCGCGCGTATTGCGCTAGGGGCGGAAGCTTGCTGGCCCGTTGCTGCGCCGCTGCTGGGCAAACGGGCTAATATCGACATCAATGCCTCCAAATCTGGAGTAGGTCGCAACGCCTGCTCCGAGGACGGGGCGGCGGGCACTGAGGACCAACCCAGCCCTGCTGCTCGTCCTGCGTCCATGTTGGCTGCAGGCATGATGCGAATGGAGGCGGAAAACCGGCTCCAGAAGATCACAAGGTGGAAAAAAGCACTAGTCGGAGATCATGTGGTAGCTGCATCTCTGATGGCAGCAACAAAGTCGCCTGAACCTGAGCAGAGGAAGACATATCAACTGCTAAACGCGCGTGTGGGTGAGAATGGATGCAGGTGCCCCACCAGGAGGAGCTGATTGTGCCGCCGCCTGGCACCGCACGGTGCCGTCCCTCACCAGCAGCGCTCCCCCTGCGGCGCGCCACTTTTAGTAGGCAATGGATGGACACAACCGACCTCATGCAGGGGCTGGGTGGGGGTCAGAGTCGCAGGGTGGCCGCGCGGAAGGCAACAACCTTCTGAATGGTTGTTGCCTGGTCTCTCAGCTGCAGCACACCCAAGCCCCCGGTTAACCAATGTACAACCTGAAATGATAACTGTGCTGGTTTGCACGTTGCGAAAGACAAGAGAAATGTCTCCTGAGAATGGGGGTGCAGCAGTAAACATGCAAATTGCAGATCAGCTTGCTCCAAACAGGGCGAAGAACGAGGGCTCATCTAGGACAGCCCCAAACGGCTGCTGATGGGTGCTCTCCTCCAGTGCCGCCCAGCTGGGTGGGCCCGTGCCTGCACTGTCGGCTGCTGCATCCGCCGCGGGAAACTCAAGATAAGCGGGCAGGGTGTTGACGGCGCCATCGGCAGCGGCTGTGATGCTGCAAGGGTATGGCGGAGGGGTGTGCAGCCAGGCGCCAGCCTCGTCCCGCATGTGAGATCTGTCTGATGCAAAGTGCCGCACGAAAAGAGCCCCCGGCACAACACGATAAAACCTGCATGGTGGCCAGGACCGCAGAAGGAATCAGCCAAGAGATGCAGCAGCACATGGGCAGCTTGGAATGGTGTGCCGACCAAGGAGTGACGGCGTGCGGGATTGCAGCACTGGCGCACCGGCGGTAGTGCTGCGGCAGGTTCGCTGCCCCCAGCAGCGCGTGTCGCCGGTAATCGGCCAGGGAGCAGGGGAACGGCAGCGTGGTGTCCAGATCAAAAACGAGCGCCTCTCCGCCCTCCTGCTGTGCCACCAGCAGCACATGATAGTCCCAGCACACAACTTTTCCAAGGCCGGCTCTTTGGTACCACACAGGCACCTGCAGCGCGTGAGGGCTTCTTCGCGGTTAATTGGATGCACGCAGGCATGGCTCTGGGTCCGTAGGTGCCGACTCACCATTTTATGCGAGTTCGAAATGAAGATAATGGCCAGGCGCCAGGCCGGCAGCTGTGCCACCAGCTGCTGCGCAAGCCACCACACGTTCTCCTCGCACCAGCATGCCGTATAGACACAGTCACTCCTGGACGGCCATGCCGATGGCAAGGCTGCAACAACGGCTGCGCCAGAGTTGTCGGGCGTGGCCGGTGCTGTGCCTGTGGCTCCGCGTACCCCCCGCATGCCGCCGGTGGCTCCACGTGCCGCCGGCCTGCCGCCGGCGTCACCGTACGTGTGGCTAGGTTGGGAGGCGTCGGCTGCCTCGCCGCAGCACCACTGCTCCTCGGCGGGCAATGCAGTCGCGCCAGCAGCCACGGAGACGCGCAGAACCACGCAACAGTGCAGGGTGTCAACCACAGCAGTCGGCAACTATGTCCAGGTCACACACGGTGCATTCCCCGGTGCCAGGCAAATCCCTCGTTTCGAAAAAATCCATTCCTAAGTAGGGCAGACTCTCTGCCAACTGTACTGTTGGTTGGTATTTCGGCTGGCTGAGCCCTCGTTGGTAGGTCCGCGACTGGTCCAATAATTACCAAAGAGACAGACACACCGTGCAGGAATCTCTGCCCGGACGAGAGACCTCTTTGGTCAACCCAACATGTCTGTGTCGCTTAGCCGTGCATTCTCCTTCGAGGAGGGCCAGCAGCTGTTCCTGGAAAGCAGCCCACAGCAGCAGGCGGCCGGAGAGGGGCCGTGGGGGAGCACCGCAGCGGCGCCGCCCGCACGGGTCGATGAGCATCGGGCCGGGCAGGTGGCGCAGTTGGAGGCATACTTGGCGGGGGTTGCTGCCGTCACCTCAGTGGCATTCCCCCCCAACTTTTCTTCCCTAGTTCATGGCTTTGTTCTGGGGCGGCAACTGGAGACCGCCGCACTGCGGGGTGAGGCAAAACGCCCTGCTCGTTGGAGTGTAGCTTGCAGCTCTCAAACCATGGTACACATGGTACACATGTGCAGGCCCAATGTGGCCCACGGACCCCTCGCCCCCCACCCAACTTAGCCGCAGGCTGGCTCCCCACCAACATGGCGGCACCAGGAGGAAATGAGGCTGCAGCTGCTGCGCCCCTTACTGTCTCCGCCGGGGTGATCGCTGGTAGGAACAGCAGCTCCACTGGCAGCGATGCGCCGGCCAGGGGCAAGGACCCAGGCGGGGTCAGCGAGGCCCTGCGCAAGGTGCAGCTGCTGGACCACGAATTGGCAGCTGCCGACCAGCGGGCGGCAGCAGTGGCAGCTGCGGGCAGGGCACTGGAGCAGCGCATCGAGGCAGAAGAGTCTGGCGGCGATTGCGGCAAGGGCAGTGTAGCTAGCGAGGGAGGGAGCCTAGCGGCGGCCATGCAGCACGCGCGGCGCCGCCTGCAGCGTGAGGCACAGCTCAAGGCAGCGCTGAACGAGCATGGCCCGGCAGCCATGGCAGGTGGTGACGATGAAGAGGGCACAACTGCAGAGTCGGCCAGCAATGGCATTCCCGCATGCCAGGCAGATGAGGCGCTTTTGGAGACGCTGCTGAACGGCCCTGCAGCATCGGCAGAGAACCCCTTTAGCCAGGCAGCGGGCTCACTGGCTGCAATTGACGCAAAGCTGGCTGCGCTGGGCTGCACGGGCCATGGCGCAGGGGGTGGGGCGCAAGTGGCGGCGCCTACACCCCCAGCGCTTGACCCGGCATGTGCAGCGCCCACCGGCAGCGAGGACCGGGAAGGGGAGGTGGAGGAGGAGTTTGCGGCCATCAGGCAGCGCTACATTAAGTGAGCCCGGGCAGCGCCTCCAGTCCTCCCGCCTCCAGCCCTCGCCGCCAAACCCGTCATGCTATCTTGATGCAGGGTGCGGCGTGAGGCACGAGCTGCTGCACGCCATCTGCATTTCATTGATGCGGACCTTCGGGCCCTCAGAGCTCAAGACTGTGTCTCCTGAGCCTGCACGGCATGCTGACGGCGGCGCCAGCGTGGCCACCAAGTTCCGATCCACATCGGGCCCTGTTGAAAGTTGCTGGCAAGCAATCCCGCAGTCTGAATTGCTGGTTTTGATCTACAGAGAGAACGCCGTGTGTCACCGCCAGACATCCGGTTGCCTCGACAGCCCTTCACTAGCTCTACGCCAAGTGTGAATATCACGTGTCGCAGAGGGTGGTGCAGAAGCCCTTTCTGGGCGGGTTGGGGTTTGCAGGTAGAGCTTGCAGCATGGGTAAGCACGGCAAGAGCGGCACCCCGCTGAAAATCAACCCGCGGCGGTCAAGAGGCAACTCGGAATGCATGGAAGAGGTGAGGGTGCACCACCACATCTGGCTGCTGCCGCCGCCGCCGCCGCTCCCTGCCGCCACTCCGCTGCCCAGCCTTCGTGCCCGCCTCTTTGCGCAGCTCAACGCCTTCTTCACCTGCATGGCCAAGTCCATCGACGTGGAAGACAAGTGTGTTGCAGAGCGGAGAGCGCTGACCAATTGCGCAACGGCAGCGGTGGGTGGCTCTGCGAGCTCAGCTGCTACGCTGTCTAGTGAACGCCAGCGAGGGGCCTGGCCACAACTTGTTGTCTGCCCTCTGCATATGCAGGCCCGCAAGGGGAAGACTGCCAACACTATCAACTATCACTTGCAGAGGATTAGCCGCATGCTGCGGCGGTGAGGCAGCAGCCACGGCACAGTGGCACGACATCCATCTTGGCACGCATACCCACCCGACCCAGTGCTTATTGACAGACACTGATTGTTTACACATTGGCTGATCATCCAATCATTATCCAATCCAAATCGACGGCGGACAACCCCACATCCCCTGAGTGGTGCTAGCCTGGGTGTGTAGCGCCTGCGAGGCTGCAGCGCAGGCAACCTCATGCCACCCGTGGCGACCCTTGGGCTGCCGTCGCCCTCGTGCGTTGCCGCATCCTGCTGCCCCACCCCTTGTACTCGCTCACCCCACACCATGCTGCACCGCCCGCCGCCACTCTGTCAGCTACACCCCAGCCGGCGCGGCTAGCTGCGCTGCCTGGCCAGCCAGCCGCCCTGCGCGATGGCCTGGCGCCCTGCTGCTTCAGTCCAGGAAGGGCATGAGCATCTGGGCCAGCTCCGGCATCTTGGACGCCTTCTTGCTGCCCCGCTCAATCCTGCGCGCCACCTCGGCCGCGCGCGCCGCCAGCGCCGCACGCATCGACTCCAGCGAGGCGGAGGCCGCGGCGCGCTGCTTGCCCGCCGCCGCCTCCGCCTCCTGCGGTGCGGCAGCAGGGGCGCAAGCAGTCAGAGGAGGGGTTGAGGCAGTCGGCAGCTTTGTGGCTGGCGGCTGGCTGCAGGCTGCGCTCACCGTGGCCACCGCCGACACCTGGTCGTACAGCGCCCTGTACCCCTCCCAATGCTCGTTGAGGCGCTGCTGGAAGGCCAGAGTGTCGGCATAAATCTCGCGCATCTGCAGGGAGGGGCGGAGCAGCGCAGGCGTGGCTCGCGTGGGGGTGGTGGGGCGGTGGCGCCAGCAGGACGAGGCCCAGTGCAGCAGGACCCGCTTGGATCTTTTGGAAGGCCGCCTGCCACCAAACTGCCCCGCAAGGCCGCCACCGCTGGCAGGCAGCCCGAAGACATTTGGCTGCCCGGCGCCCTGCCACACCCCACCTTGCCCTCCAGCTCTTTCTCCAGCGCCACATGCTTCTGGCCCTCCTCCGTATCCAAACGCTGTGGCACACAGCCAAAAGCACAGATGCAGACAGGTCCACTCTTCAGCCCAACCATATGAGGGCGTGGCGCAGCTTCCGCAGGCGCAGGCATTAGCAGGCAGGCAGGTGGATGGGCACAGGCATTACCCGCGCCTTTCCCCGTGGCTGCTGCCTCACCTGCTGCGCCTGCTGCATCTCCTTCTCCTGAGCCGCCAGCATGGCGGCCACCTCCGCCTCCAGCTCATCCACCATGGCAGCCTGCACACGGGAGGAGTGGCTGGGTGTCGGTGCGCACACCAGCCGAGGCCAACCAAACAGCACTCTCCCTCCACGCAGCCCCCGCCCTCCACGTCTGGTCCACACCCGGGCCCCTGGGCTTGCCTGCTTGCGGTGGGCGGCTGCCTTGCGCTTGCGCAACACCTCAACCATGAAGGCCTGCAGCGCCGCCATGTCCTCGCCCTCCCCATCCTCGCTGCGTGGGGGAGGCAGGGGAGGCGAGGGGAAGGAGACAGGAGGGGCTGGGGATGAGAAGCAAGCGGCTGGAGCAGGGACGGCATGGAGGCGCAGGGCGGGAAGCGGGTGTGCAGCTAAAAAAGGCAGGCAGGCAGGCAGGCGGGCAGGGAGGCAGGCGGGTTTCAGGCGGGCTTTCAGGCCTGCCAGGTGGCAGCGCCCCCCCGCCACCTGTCGTCCTCGTGGTGCTGGGAGGCGGCGGCGTGGCGGCGCTGCGCCGTGGTGAGCAGGTGGTGGATGCTGGGAGCCTGGCTGTCTTCGGGCGCTGAGCCCTCCGCAGCGGCCGGTGCCTTGCGGGTGGAGCGCCCGACTGTGCCGGTGGCGCCCGCCGCTGGCTTGGAGGCCACGGCAGCAGGTGCGGCGCCGCCGCCGCCACCCTTGTGGCGCTTCTTCGCCGACAGCTGGCCCAGCGACTCGACAGGGCGCTTGCCGCCTGCAGCCGCCGCCGCCGCTGGCTTGTGCTGCTGCTTCTGCTGCTGCTGCTGCTTGGCCTTGGCTGTGGTGCCCCTGGCGCCGATCCCGGGCAGCGCCAGCCCATCCTGGCTAAGGGTGGTGGTCAGGCGCGCAGTCTTGGCTGCCGGCTTGGCGCCAGACAGGCCCAGCAGAGGCTCGGGCGCTGCAGGGTCGGGAGAAGAGGCGTGGCGGGACACCCATCAGGCAGGCGGCGGCACAGAGATCAGCCGCCCCAGCGGTGGCATGCGTGGAGGGAAGCCTGCGTTGGGCCAGCAGCAGGCGCACCCCTCTTCTTGACCACCCCAGCAGCGGCAGCCTTCAGCTCAGCCTTGCGGCGGCCGGTGGAGGTGCCGGCGCCGCCGTCACCGCCCGCAGCAGCGGCGGGCTCCTTCACTGCCGTGAACTTGAACCGCTTGGTGATGCCGCGCAGCCTGGGGGAGGGGAGGGGGCATGGGCGGCAAACTGAGCAGGCAACAGGCGAGGGGGCCAGCGGTGCCAGGCAGCCAGGCAGCCAGCCAGAGAGGCGGCCGGCAAGCAGGTGGGCGGGGCCGTGGGCAGCAGGTCTCACTCCTCTTCCTCCACCAGCATGTCTGGCACCTCCGCCTCGGCGGCTCGGAAGTGGGTCCATCCCTTCAGGTGGCGCGTCCCCGCAGACTGGTAGCCACCTGCGCCGGCGGCAGGCAGGAGGCAGGCAGGAGGCAGGTTACAGGGGATGGCGGGCGTGGCTGGCGCCCAGCATCGCCCAAAAGAGCCAGCTAGAGCAGCCAGCACCAGCTGTTCCGCAGCTCCTCCTGCCCTCAATCTGATGCGGCTACCTGGCGGGGCGGCACCCTCCTCCTCAGATTCTGATGCAGCCTCCTCCTCTCCCTCCTCCTCCTCCTGCATTTCCACGTCCTCCGAGCTGGTGCTGTGCTGAGGGGAGACGGGCATGGCAGGGGACGACACCTGCGCCGCAGGCAAAGACCGTGCGGGCGCGTGCAACAAATGAGCCATGCTTTCCCATGCTCCTGCTAGCCCATGTGGGTGGGAAAGACGATCTGGTCCCACCCACCCCCGCCCATACAGCATGCACGCCCTCATCCCCCGCTCCTCCACCCCCGCAGCCACCACCCCACCCACCTCTGGATACTGCTGAGCCAGAGGCAGCTCCTCATCATCATGATCCTCCCCCTCACCGCCCTGAGGCTCCGCATCCAGCATGCCGCCCTCCACCGCCACCGCCTCTGCGGCGGCAGCTGCACCCGCCGCCTGCTCCTCGCTCACCTGCAGCCGGCAGCCTCAGCTGGGAACGGCGGCGATCCCAGCAAGCGGCAGCCGCCATGCAAGGGCAGGCCGGCTGCTAGTGCCGTGCCCTGCTCCTCCACCGCAAGGCAAGCCACAACCCACCTCCTCCCGGCCCTGGCCCGCCGCCGCCTCACGGCCCCGCTTCTTGCCCGCCACCTTGCCGCCAGCGCCCAGCAGGCGGCGTGACTTGAACGGCGACTTGGCCTGCCGCTTGCCCGCCGCCGCCGCCACCGGGTGCGGGTCCTTCTTGGCCTGCACCGAGAGGCAGGCGGCAGGAGATCAGGAGTAGAAAGTGTGGGCCACCAGACACCGGACTGTATGGAAGGAACCAGCATGAGGCGAGGGGTGCCCCGCTGTGCAACACTGATGCAAACAGAGCCCCGATACAGCTGGGTGCGTTTTGGTGCCCCCAAGACGAGGCGAAGGAGGGCTTGCCTGTCTGCGCTCGCCGGCCGGCGCCCTGAACTCAAACACTTCTCCTCCCCCCACCGCTGCCGCCCCCCTGTCCTCTGAGAGGGCAGCCGCCTGCGGGCGCCCCCGCTGCTGCGGCGGCTGCTTCTCGGTCCCTGCCTTGCCCGCCAGCTTGGCTGCGGCAGTGGCCGCTGCTGCCCTGCGCGGCCTGACTCCACCTCCCCCAGCAGCCTTGGCGGCGGGCGGCTTGCTGCCGCTGCCGCCTGGTGCCGGCTTGCTGGCACCAGCGGCCGTCTTGGCTGCCTGCTGCTTCTTGGCCGGCGGCTGCTTCTTGGCCGGCGGCTGCTCCTCCTCATCCTCCTCATCCTCATCCATAGATTCAGTCTCCTCATCCTGGGCTGCCTTGCCCCTGGCCTTGGCAGCGGCGGCAGCGCGGTGCAGCGGCTGCTTGGAGGCGTGGTCGTGGCGCAGCTCAGACTCGCTGTCGCTCTCCGGGGCCGCATGGGCCTGCAGGGAGGGGGTGGCGGGGCGACCATACGTTCGGTGTGGCAATGCGACCTACGCTTGAAGGCACACCGACAGCTGTTGAAGCAGTAGCTAGCAAGTAGGAAAGCACAGCACAGCACAGCGCAGCGCAGCGCAAACATCATCCCCCCCTCTGCCCTGCCCACCTGGTCGGCGGCGCCCTGCAGCCAGCTGGGTGTGGGGGAGACGGCAGAGGGCTTGCGGCCCCCGCCCCCAGAGGGCCCCGTCTCCTCAATGCGATCCTCTGTCCCCTGCGGGTCTGCAGCCCTGCCACCCTCACCCGCCGCCTTGCCTCCCTTGGCGCAGCCAGGTGCGGCAGCAGCAGCGGCGTTGCCGCTGCTGCCCTTGCCACCTCCGCGGCTCTTCTGCTTCTTGTCAGCAGCCGCCTCCCGGCGCTCCTTTGCGTTGCCGGCGCGCTGCGCCTGCTGCTTCTGCTTCTGCTTCTTGGTGCCGCCCGCGCGGCCACCGGCCGGCTCCGCTGTCGGCTGGCGCTCGTCCTCCGCGCCCTGCTCCTCCTCCCGCTCGCTTTCAGAGCCGATGCCGACCTCAAAAGCATCCAGACCAGAGGGCTCTGCCACCTCAGCCGCCTTGGCCGCCGCCTTGGCCGCAAGGCCAGGCCCCTGTGCATTGGGGGCGGGCCCGGGGACAGCCGCCTCGTGCTGGCGGGGAGCAGCTGGCTGCTGCGCGGCCGCACCTGCGCCTGCGCCTGCACCAGGGGCCCTTGGCGGCGGGGAGTTGACCTCACCAGGCTCCGCCGCCAGCGCCCCCGCAGCCGCAGCACAGGCGGCGGGCTCGGCAGCCAGGGGGGCAGCCGACGGGGCCGCAGGGCGCTGGGAAGCTGCGCGGCCCCGGCGCTGGCTGGCGCCCGCAGCCGCGGCTGTGGCCGCCGTGGCGGTGGCGGTCTCGTGAGAGACGGGGGCGGGGGCGCCGGCTGGGCGGCCCGAGTCGGGACCCTGCTGCTGGCGCAGCCAGGAGGCTGGTGGCTCGGCTCGCGCCAGCGGCGCGTCAGGTGCAGGGGCCTGTGAGGTGGGGGGGTGCGACAGCAGCAGCAGTTGGGCATGAAAACGGCAGGGATGCAGTGGACGGTCGAGAGGGGTGGCAGGCGAGGGCGGTAGTGCAGCAGGTGGCAGGCCGCCTACCTCGCCAGAGCCCCGGCGGTGAAGGGCTGGGGCCTCCTGCTGCTCCGGCTGCTGGCCCTGCTGCCCCTGCGGCTCCACGCCCTCCTCCTCCCCCTGCTGCTGCTGCTCCTGCGGCGGCGGCAGCTCCTCCCTGGGCTCCTCTGGCGCCTGCCCTGCCTGCTGCTCCTGCTCAGCTGCAGCAGGGGCAGGCTCCGCCTCCTCCGCTGCTGGCACGGCTGGCGCTGCCGGGCGGGGCTGGCGCTTGAACGGCAGGGGCGCAGGGCAGTCGCCGCGCTTGAGGTTGGACCTGGGGCGCCCAGAAGAAGGCTGCTGGCGCGGCTCCTGGTGCTCTGCCGCTAGGTTGGCGGCCTGGCCGAGGGAGTGGCCTGCATGGCGGGGGGCGGGGGCAGGGCAACGGGTCATGTGACGCGCAGCCATGCCCGCACCAGCAAGCATGGGCATGCTCCTGGTGTGCCGGCTGCGCCGGAGATGTGGCGCCTGCGAGGCTGGGTGGCCGGGTGCCTGCTCCCCTTCCTGCCTGCACCCCCACCTGAGCGCGTGAGCTGCAGGGGCGCCCTGCCGGAAGACCTGCCCGCCGCCGCCTCGGGCCTGTCGCTGTACACATGGTATCCCCTGCAGCAGGCGGGGGCAGCCGGCGTGTTGCCGTGAGGGCACAAGACGTGGGCCGCGCCGGCAGACAGCAGCTGGGGTGCCGCGCGAGGGCAGCTGTGCGGGGCCAGGTGCGGCTTGGCAGCGGTGCAGGGCGCCCTGGCCCAGGCCAGCAGGTGCCCCTCACGTCGAGCACTTGCGCTGGCGCTGGCTCATCTCGGCAGGGCCAGCCAGGCCAGCCGGCGCGCCATCTGGGGAGAAGGCCACGCCCGCGGCCCTCATGGCGGCCGCCACACGCGGCGCGTAGGCAGGCAGCGCGGCCAGGTCGCCGCGCTTGAACTGCATCACAAGGGTGCCCTTGCTGCAGCGGCGCGGGCGGGGCGCAGGGGTGGGGGTGGGCAGCAAGGGGCAGGGTCGCGGGAGGGCTGCAGGGAGAGCAGCGAGGGTGGCTAGGCGTGGGACGCCAGCCCATTGCCTGCTCTGCCCCGTCGCGCCAGTCCGTGCCCAGCCAGCTCCGCCTCACCCCTTGAAGCTCTGCGACATGTTCTGCAGCTGCTTGGGCATGGCGCGCAGCGACACGGTGAGCTTGTCGTAGCCGGAGGTGGCGCCGCTGGCGGTCTGCGCCTTGGACACGTCGCCTGCGGGGGCCGGGGCGGCAGCGGGGCCGGGCGGGCGGGGCGGGAGACCGGGCGCGGTCGGACCCCGGCCACAGAACCACGCGGTGGCTGCCTTCCGCCCTGCCCGAGCCCTCGCTGATGCCGAGTGCACAGCGCCCGTTCACCCCATCCACCCACTTTCACACCGACCTACACACGCCCACACAGGCGCCTGCGACTCACTGTACGGGAACTGCACCACATCCAGCTCCAGCTGGCTGCCTGCTCCGCCTGCGCCGCCGCCACCACCCTCCTCCCCCTCGCCGCCCTCCGAGTCTGCCTCTGGGATGAGCAGCCCCACCGACAGCGAGGTCAGCCCAAAGTCCACCCACATGCCCGCCGACGCCATGCCGTCGATGCCGCACACCGACACGCTCTTGGCCTGGGTGCAGTACATGCTGGGTGGAGGGGAGGGCAAGGGGCGGGGCAGGGGTGTGGGACACACAGGCAGGCGAGGCCAGGAGTAGGAGCATTGCCTAGCGGAGGCAGGGAGGCAGGCAGGCAGGCAGGCAGGCGGGAAAGCAGGGCGGGCAGGGCGGGCAGGGCGGGCGGGCGGGACGCGCGCACGTGGCCTGCTGCGGCGCCAGCTGTCGGTTGTACGCCACCAGCAGCCTGCGCAGCTCGCTGCCCAGGTCCAGGGCGCCGCCCTTGGTGGGGCGCGCCGCCAGCGCGTCCAGCGCCGCCAGGAAGTCGGCCTTGAAGAGGGAGCGGTGCGCGTCGCGCAGCGCCCGCGCCCGCGCGCACCGGTACATGCCCTCAGCAGGTCGATCTGGCAGGGCCACGTCGCCGCAGCCGGGCAGCACCTGCCCGAACAGCGCGCAGGAGCTACGGGGGCGGGAGGTGGTGGGGTGGGGTGGGGAGGGCAGGGCGGGTCAGGGGAGTGTTGGTCGGGGCACAAGCCGGTGCCGGAAGGTTGCAGCGGCAGAGCGGCAGGGACCTGCTCCGCCACCAGCCAACGCCACCTCTACCCTCCTCCCCTGCCCACGCTTGGAGGTGCCCCATCCGCCCATGCCCCCAGCCTCACCTCTCCTCCTCTCCCATCAGCAGTTTGCAGTTGGCGGGGCTGTTGACCACGAACTCCAGCAGGCAAGAGGTGGCGGCGCAGCGCAGGGGCCCCCACACCACTTCGCCGGGAGCCACCAGGAAGTCGACGATGCACGGGATGGCGAGCCCGGCGTGCAGGTCACGCCCGCGGGGCGGCTTGTCGCTGCCGGCTGCGGGCGGGGCGGGCATGAGGGAGGGCGACAGGGCAGCGTGAGGGCGTGGCGGTGCATGGTGCGAGGCGGCTGGCTGCGTATGGCGTAGGTCCCGGGCCCCTTCGGCACCATCCACCCGCCACCTCCAATCTGCGCGGCCCCACCTTGCGGCCTGCCGATCAGGCTGGCCAGGTCTGACAGCACGTTGAGCACCGCAATGGCCGTATCCTCCAGGCCCTGGGGCGCCGGCTTGTGCCTGCGCAGCGCCGCGCCGCAGCGCTCCAGCAGGCTGGCCAGCGCCTGCGGGTACTTGGACTCCAGCAGGAAGCGCTGGTGCGCGTCGCTGCAGGGGGGTGGGGCGTTGGGCAAGGCTGGAAAGTACCGCACCGCGGTGGGTGGTGGTCGCAGCAACCACGGCAGGCCAAACGCTGCGCTGCCGCCGCGGCGTGCTGCCGCACCCTGCCCCCACTCACTCCAGGTCGGCTCCATCAACCGTTGCCTTCAGAAGCTGGCCTGCCAGCTCCAGCCCCTCCAGGTCTTCTGCTTGGCTGCCGGCCTGCAGCCACAAAGGGGGGGAGCAGCATGAAAACCGCCCCCTCCTGGCCTGAAACCCCACACTGATCAAAGCTGCTGATTGGGCAGGAGTCCAGGGATGGAGCACAAACCTGCAGCAGCTGCTTGACCAGGCCGTTCAGTCCCTCGGCGTCCAGCTCCAGCTTCTCATTGTTTTCCAGCAGAGATGCCAGCGCCCTGGCCAGCTGCTGCCTGTCTCTGGCCCGCAACAGCGCGTCCTGCAGGAGGGAGGGCCCTGGGAGTTTGGTTCAGCGGAAGTGGGGGCGCTCCACGGGCCGTCATCCTCACTCCAGGCGCTAGTGCGACCTTGAGCTTCATCGCTGCGCCTCGCTGGGACCGACGTGGGCTCCGATGGGCCCGCTGATCGCCAGCCATTTCGACTGAGCAGCCGCGATTGCCTGGTTCCAACCGCGCAGACAGGCGAGCGGGCTACGTAGTTACGGTGGAAAACTATGATTCCGTGTATGGGGCTCAAACGGGTGAGGGCGAAGTGCAATGGCGGGGAAGAAAGTCGGTGAATCAGCGGTTGAATGCAATGGCGGGAACCGCCTTGCATGCTGTACAGTATAGCAGGCAATCACTTGTCAAGTGCTGCCAATCAACTATGTGCATGCTGATTTTACTCAAGTAATTTCAAGGCCTGCTGAACGCTGCTGCCAGCTGCTTGCTGGCCGTGCTGCTAGACGCTGGCGTGTCGTTGGCCGCCGCCGAGGAAGCCTTGGACGGAGCCTGCGTGACGGCAGTGCTGCCACCAGTGGCCTGCCGCTTGAAGTACGTCATCCAGACACCGCATGAGTACGTCTTTCCGCGTGCCGACACGCACACCGTCGGGGCGGAGCCGCACGTCTGCCGGGAGGCGCCGCTTTTGAGGAAGCAGCGCTTCTGCGCCGCGTTGTAGGAAAACGAGTCGCAGCCAGGGGCGGCGTTGCAGGCCAGCATGCAGCTGATGGGCTCCACTGCTGACCTTGAGCCGTAGCCGTCCTGCACCGGAGCGGCGGCGACATTTGTGAGCACTCTCAGCATGCTTGCCTGGCGGCGCAGATGCCAGCAGGGGCCGCTGCCGCCGCTGCCCACCTTTTGGCCGCCGCCCTTCACCCGGTCCAGCGCCCCCGTCACATCGTACTGGAAGCCTGGAGCGCCCTCGGGGTACACCACGTCCCTGCCCTCGCTGCACGCCAGCCGCGCCGCGCCATCGCTGACATACTGCGTCTGCACGTCTGCCAGGGCCGCGGCGGGCTGGCAGCTGGCGCCATCCCCAGTGTAGCCATCAAAGCAGTGGCAGGCGAAGCCGCCGGCCTGGTTGGTGCAGGCGGCGTTGGGGTCGCACCCAGCCGTCTGCCTGGCGCACTCATTGATGTCAATGTTGCAGCCCGGCCCTTCGTACCCAGCGTCACCGCACGGGCCCGCTGCTGCGGGAGCGCGCCCAGCCGGGCGGCACCCCGCCGCCGCCGGGCCACTCAGGCTGCGCATGGTGGCGCTGAAGCCGCGCATGAGCGGCCACACGGCGCTGTTGCTCTCAAACACGCCTGAAGGACAGGGGGAAGCGGGCTTTGGATCAATGCTGCTGGGGGCATAAGCACAGGCAGAACCGATGCGCATGATTCCAGGCCACTGGACTGTGCTCCGGTGGGGCGGCGGCCGCCGCATAGCACACCAAACAGGCCGGATGCCGTGCCGCCCTCCTCCGCCGGCGCCTTCTGGCCCTCCGCATACCACGTCCAGAACAGCGCGCCCTGGGCGGGGCCACCGGCCTTGGCGTTCTGCAGTTGAGGGCCAGCAGCGAGGCGCTGCCGCTTGTTGCCTCGAACACACAGGGATCAGGAAAAGGGCGGTGTGGAACCCCGCTCAGCTTGCCAACCTCTGCAATGGCGTCGTAAATCAGCCTGTAGTACTGCTGCTGCTCGTCGCCGTTGCCGCCCCAAACCCCAAACTCCTCCATCAGCAGCGGCTTGTCCACAGCCTGCACATGCCGAGTGCATGGGTTGGTCAACTGTGTGGTGCCTGGCTGGGCTGCTGACCCCAACCGCAGCAGCAAGCCTGTGCTCGCCTGCGCATCCTCAATGTGCTGCCGGATCCAGCGCCTCGCAAACTCTGGCGTTTTGTCCTCCCTGCATGCACGTTTGACAAGCCGTCCTGGCCTTGAGCTGAGCATACACAGCGCCAGCAGCACAGCACCCTCGCATCAGCACAGAGGAATGGAGTGGCAGCCAGGACACCCACCAATTGTTGATCCAAAGATGCATCGACATGAAGTCGATGCTTGGCGAGGCGTGGTCGGCCACAAAGTTCTGCCCCTCCTCGTTGGCCCACGAGTCGGCGCCCTGGGGGTTGGCGGCCGCCTGCGTGCCAGGCGGCAACGGGCAGCATGGGCTGCGCGAGGTAGAGCACGCGCAACCATTCTGACCCGCGCTTCTGCTCCTGGATGAGCCATGCAGAGGCCAGCCAAAAGGCGCACCTGGGACAGGCTGGCCGGGTAGAAGCCCTCAGCCCCAACAGTGAGCAGGTGGTTGGGGTCCAGCGCCTTCACGTGTGCCGCCATCTCGCCAACCCACCGCGCCAGCACGCCGCCACACTGGTAGCACCGAGGCTCATTGATCAGGTTCCAGCCTGCAGGGGGGCAGGGGGGCAACCGTGGGGAAGCCGCACAGAAAGGGAGCCTTGCACAGCGCTGCATTGATGTGCAGCAGCGCCACACCCTCCAGGTATGGCGCTGCTGCGCCCTTGCCGAAGCCCCCCTGCCTGCGCACCAAAGATGGTTGGGTCCTGGCTGTAGCGTCGGCCGTTGATGGTGTTCACTCGGCTCAGCACCGCTGCCGCGTGGGCCTTGTACAGCTGCTTGGCCTTGGGGTCGGTGAAGAAGGACTCGTGGTCCCCGCTGCCCGCCCAGCGCACAAACTCGTCGGCCCCGCCCGTGGCCTGCCAGTTGTCTGTCAGCGACAGCAGCAGCTGCGGCAGGAAGCCAGGTAGGCAGGCGATGAGTGCAGGTCAGAGGGAGACGGTGGGGCACCTTGAACTGGCAACCAGCAGACCTGCACACCTACCCGCAGTCCCCGCTTGCGCGCCTCATCCAGCGCATAGTCCAGGCCCCGAAACACCGCCTCGTTGTACTGCCCAGGTGCAGTCTGCAGCCAGCTTGCGGCGGAGGGGGCACGCCAATGATAGCAGGCGAATGCCAGCCCCCAACCCCCGAGCAGGAGTGCCGGCTTCAAAGCGCGCCTTCAGGTGCAGTGGCCCGGCACCTGCAGCGCGTACTGCGGTGTCACGGTGTGGGCCCAGGCTCGTATGACGTTGAACTGATTAGCGACCGCGCGGTCCATCATGCGGCGCACGAGCGCGGGCCCGGTGGTGTTGGGCGGCAGCGACGCGCCAAACAGCTCCAGGCCGCCGGCGGCAGCCTCCACCAGCTCCCACATGTTCCACCCGCTGACGTAGAAGCGCTTGCAGTCGACAACAAACTGGCCACCCTCCACCCGCACATAGTGGTCCATGTCGCTGCCACCATTCTGCGGCGAGGAAGAGGGGCAGGCAACTCAGCTGCCACTGCCGGCCCGCCGAAGCCCGCCGCCGCCCACCACCCCATTCCGCTGCTCACTCACCGATGCCGGCGTGGCCCGCGTCTGCTGCCTTTCAATCAGCACCTGCGCCCTGCCTACAAGCATGCAGAGCAGCATGAGCAGGAGGACGGCGGGAGGGGCGCAGGCTCGCATCCTCTGAAGCTGCCTGCGGCCGAACGAAGGCCCTGGCGGAGCGTCCAGAAGGCTGCTAGCAAGGGGCAGCAGGTGATTTGAGGGACAGCGAGACCTAGAACGCGCAACCATTGCATCGAGCGACCCGAGAAGACGGCGCACCCTGCATTGTGGCGATCATAGAAGTGGCGATTGCAGGAAGAGCAGGCTTAAGAGTAACTCGGCTGTGCGTGCGGTTCGAGGCACCGTGTCCCTCGGCCTCCTTGTTGCTCCGGTACCGCCAGCCGCTCGCCATAGTTTGGTGTAGGCATGCCTCATTGCGCGGCTCGCTGCTGCTTCTGCAGGGTGGCCACCTCCTGCTGCAACAGCCTCTTGGCGTGGGCCAGGTAGGCGCGCCCCAGCTGCTTCTGCCCGATGCGGTAGAGCAGGCAGTGTCTCTGGTTGAGCGTCAGAGCGGCGCCCGCTGCCGCCAGCAGCTGCTCGTCCTGCTCCAGCGGGCCCGTGCCTGCAGTGCCACCCGGCAGCGCAAGGCCCCGCCATTAACCACATTGCCCTGTCCCGATCAAAGCAGAGGATGCCATCGCAGCCTTGTGCCGCTCTTGCCCGCTGCACGCACTTTCACCCCAGGGGGCACCAGGGCCACTCCTGCTGGTCTGCGTGCCAGCAGCAGAGCATGCAGTGTAGCTTTGGAGTGGGCGGCAGCTGCTGCGGCGTGGCGGGCAGCATCTGTGCACCTTGAACAGGCCAAGCAGGCAGACCCTGGGTCAGCGGCGGTGCAAGAAGCGGATGAGGCGATAACGGCAAAGTGTGCCTTTGCCAAGCAGCGCCAGCAATAGGGTGCGCAGGCCGGCACAGCCACTGGCACAACTTGAACAAAGCGTACTCGCTCTTGAAAGTTGCAGCCAGCCACAGGATTTGTGCCAACATGCGCGGGGGTTGCCCGATGTCTCAGACAGCATGTGCCAGTCTACACCCGTTCTTAAGTGCTTGTGTGTGGGCTTAAAGTCTGGTAAAGCAAGAACTAGCTTGCAACATAGACTCCCCGCCGAAACGGGACGGGAACCGGGCGAAAGCAGAGAAAGCAATAAAACAGGGGTGGAGCAAGGCGACATGCAACGCAAGCAGCTGACAGGGCACGCATCGAAACGTGTGTATGACTGGCAAAGTGGCATGGCGCATTGGGGAGAAACGCAACGGTACGGGAGCATGGGCTGGCCAAACGGCAGTGCGGAACGCTAGGTCACTAGAAAAGCAGGGAAAGGCGCACTATGTATGCAATGAGGGCAGCCCCGGCTCGGGGCCGTTGAGAAAGCAGTGGGCGGGAGGGGGGAGGCCCCGGTGTGGGCGGGCCCCATCGAGGGGGGATGGGGCGCGCAAGCGGCCAGATGGGGCGGGGCGCGGGCGGCAGTAGAGTCCTGCGGCTGGGTGGGATATAGGGCAATGAGCGTTGAGCAGTGTGCGATGAGCAATGAGCAATGAGCAGTGAGCAGCCCCTCCCGAAACAAAGTGAAGCGCAGGACGGGGTCCGGTGGATGGGAGGCAAGGAAGCGCGGGGGGTTGCCACGTGCGCTACCGCCGCCGCCGCAGCAGCACCCCTGCGGCGGCGGCAGCGGCAGCAAGCCGTGGACCCAAACGCCGTGCCGCCGCCGCCGCAGGCAGCACCCCTGCGAC